TCGTCGGAAGTGCCCTACGTTGTGGAGAACCGCCGTAAACGCTATCGCGCGCGGGGGTGGTCGCGTGCCAACCGCGCCGACCTGGAACGCCAGGCTCGCCGAAAATATTCTCTCTTAGAAAAACCAATCGGCCGGAAGCGAGCCGATAGCCGAGGAGCCGAAGGTCGAAGGGCAATGGCGAGACCGTCTCGGGGGAATGGGCAAAGGCGACGATGAAAGGGCCGTTGGAATGCACCGACCAGAGGGGCACCGCCATCGAAGAGCCTAATTGATACCAGCAGATAAGGCGCTGACGATCGCGCGCCGAATAGGAAACGAGCCTGCCCGTGAAATTCCACGTCTCATTCGCGGCAATTTCTCTTGTCGGCGGAGCCTTTCTATTCTATTCCGTCATTTTTTCGGAGTGCGTCATTCGACATCGCCGGGAATGTCATATAATTTTATTGGATGTGGACTTGGACTGCTCGACGATGACGTCAAGTCGGCATTCATAGGAAACAATGGGTTGGAATTCTCGATTAATATGTCTAAACAGTATTTTAAAAACTTCAATTGAGATGTATTTATATTATTTTTCATTCGAAAGAATTAACTACGCTGTCTTTTTCTCATACACGCTTGACAATCTTGACATATTTGAATTCAAATGAATGCCTGCGTTTTGATATAATTTTAACTGAATATATATTTTATTCCTCAACGTATTATATAAAATAAAATATTTTTTTAAAAAAAGAGAGAAAATTAAGAAGATCTAAAAACATCTAAGAACATTGTTGGCAATCCACATCGGGTTTTAAACATGAAATAAAAGTAGTTCGGATAAGAGGATTAAATGCTGAGCGTTCCGAGTGCACCCTCATCTGTTTACGCCACTGCGTCTACCGAAAGCGTGCAGAAGATAAGGTACCAGGGCCATAAATTGCGTGCGCTCAATCCAGAGGAGGGTAGGAGGATAAACGCGCACGCGAGCGTGGGGTTGAGAGGCGGCCGAGGGTAGGAGGAATGAGGAAGAGGACAGGGTCGGCACACTCCGCGGCGAATTTCTTCGCGGATTAATATTTGCGGCGTCGGCTGCGGGCGACGGGTTCCTGCAAGGCGAAAAGGGAGATCTCCTCGCCAGACCCAAGAGATGGAACAAATAACGACGTCGGGGACAAATGGGAAGGATCCATATCCCCGGACTAACCAGAGTAACACGATACCTCCACGCGAAAACGTTTGGTGAACCTTGAAGAGAAGATAAAAAAAAGAACCGGTATTCTTACCAAAAGCGCGACTTTATTCGTCGCGACTGAACAGGAATTTCCCTCGAATAATCTTTCGGGAGTAGTAGGTGTGCAAAATGATGCGGGAAGACGCGATAAAAATGTCACTTTACAATATATATGCATATACATCTTTATGTTTCATATGTATATCTGTAGAATTTAATTTCCTCGGATTCTCCTTCAACAAATTCGGAAATCTTTGTTGGAGGGAGTGTGAGTTCCGATAAGCAGTATTACTTTTTTTATAATAAATGTTTTTCAAAATTATCTGATTTGTTCTAAGTCTTAACCCTTAAATGCCACACCTCTCAAGAATCTCGTAAATGACATGACATGGGGTCTAAAAGACCCCAGCATGAAAAATGTCTCCTTACTCATTGATTTTTTTATCTTTAGTTATGAAAATTTTTTTTCAATGTTGTTCAAGGCTTAGAAAAGAGAATAAAACGCTTATATTGTTAAAATTTCAATTTCAACATAGTATATAAAAAATTAAGTAAACTTAGTACTGCTAAGTGTACAAACGGGTAGGTTAATCACTCAACTATCATCAATGGGAGCATGAGCTCCATTTTTGGCAAGAACATTTGAAAACATTTCATTCTAAAGGGTCTGGGGTCCGCTGGACCCCACGGGGCATTTAAGGGTTAATTACGTTTTATTTGTAAAGTATATGATATATTTTCAAGATATACAATCCTCTATTATTTTTACTATTTTCTACACATACGTCTTTCTCGGAATTTATCTTGGATCTTACTCGGACCTTCGAGAATTAACGCTCACAATTCTCAGCCGCAAAAAGACGACGACTATCAACGCCGTTCGTCGCGAAGAAATCGATGACATTATGTCAAGCGGAATGATCGATCGAATCGTTACACATCAGAGTTTATCTTTTAATAAATCGCGATATATCCGAACTATCCGCAGCGCACATTTCTGCGACACCTGTCACCCCGCGTCAAGTACGTTCCATTAAAAATGGTAGATTTAGGTGGGTCGCGCGTCTTCGCTTGGCAGATATTTAACCGCAACGTCGCGTCGCGTAACATCGATACCGAAATCGTAATGTCGCGATCTCGAAATCCCGCGATGATATTTCCAAGGAAATTTGTTCGACTGATGTATTTAACGAATTTCAAAGCCCGCAGAATTAGTCATACCCGTAAGGAAACATTTAGGATCCTCTTGCTCCAAGATAATCCAATTATTTCATTGTTTTTAACACATATTTTTTAGTACAGTCGCCGCCAATGATTCCTTTCCTGGGATAAGGGGGGAACATAAGAATACCTCAGGAAAGGAATCATTGGCGGCGACTGTACCATTTAGTTTTTATTAATCGAAAAAGAGTATAAAGCGGCAAATAGTTTATTTTCCAATTATTGCATGCTTTTGATAAAGTCAACAAACGGCTGCACGTATTGAAAAATAGAGAATTAAAAATTACAAATTTGTACGCAACGATTTAGAGACCTTTTTGATAGCCGGAGGGACATTGGGCGAATCCGCCACTGCGGACGGTCTGTGCTACGGGGGGGGGGGGGGGGGGGGGGGGGGGGGGGGGACAAAATCCGGGGGGGGCGGAGAATGAAAACAGAAAGGAGACAGCGAATCGACCGACCCTCTTCCGCCCGTTCCTTTTGTTTTGTCTTTGACATACGCTCCGGTGGTACCGTCCTCTCCTCTTCCGGAGCTCGAATCTATTCGAGCGTGTGGGATGCGACTGACAGCTGGAATTGTTATATCTCGGCGAGCCCAGACGGACACCCGCTCGTAGTTCATCGATCTTCGACCGGTCGACGCCGCCACCGCCGCCGCCGCTGTCGTCCGCGCGCGATGGATTGGTTCCTATCCTTCGTTAAAATTAATCAAGCGAAGCACCGGCGCGCGATTGCCTTTTGCCTACCGTCCGCAACAATTCGCAGTATATTACTCGGATATGCATGCCGCACGCGCATTCGTCGGTTGTACCGGATGTCCTCGGCAGGAATCTGCTGGGACTCGCGACCGATCGATCCTGATGAAGAAATGAAGCTGTGCTACGAGGTAGCGTCCGTTATTGCGAAATTATGAAATTCATCACGTGGATGAATTTATAATCCATTAGATCGAGATTCGATTGACAGAACAAAAACGATGCAGAATATATAAATCAATAAGATTAATAAAAATAGTATCAATGAAATGAAAATCTTAATAAAACTAGGATTAAAAATGTTTTGTGTCTATAATAGAAATAGCGTCACGTACGTTTCTCACGCTCTTCATCAGCCTATAATCTAAGATTAAAAATTGTGTGAACGTGTGTGTATTTAGGTGGTAGATAATTGTATGTGATAAAATTGTAGAAAATATATGAATGTGCATTATGATGCAAAATATTCAATTTAAAAATTTTTGTTGAGTTTTGTATACTTGTCGATATATCGGGACAATGAAGTTTATTATGTTCGTGTTCGAAGAAAATCGCTCGCAGAGAAAACTTTAGAGCTGAACGAGAATTGTCTGTCTCCTCTTTTTATTCCGCGATCTTTTATACGTATTTTATCCACTTATATATTATATAAATTATGCGCTTTTTAATTATACATATATAAAAAATATACATAAGTTATATATACAAATCCGTTTATATTATGCGTTTCGGAATTCCTTATACGATTAATTAATTATTTCACTATTTATTTAGCTTTTATATTCCATTTATACTTATATACAGACCACACGTACACACGCAGTTATCTTAAAGCTGGCATCTCTCAAATTAAACGAAAAAAATACGTACATATATATGCAAAAATACGTATAAGTTGCAAAGATACGAAAGATCTCTGTGTGATATATGTATATCTACATATATGTTTTAGAAAGGTTCTTCAATATATCTGATATTTAATGAAAGCGATCTTGTAGTAAGTTCTCGTTGATGTGAAACATTTCCGATATACGCACAATCGAGTTCACAGCAGTGATTCGCCCCAGGGTACGCTGCCTTTAATCTTCGACTTCGACCGGATGGTTATCGGCCACGCAACAACGGTTCATCTCGGATTCCCTAATAAATGAGTTTTTTATCGAGTTTTCGCTCGACCGAGCCGAGTCGAGCGCAACCTCACCTGCTCGTATATATATCAGAAACTTATATATCGGAGACTCATTCAAACTCTTATACCGCCATCCGTCTTTCCGAGGACAGGATACACCGAAGCATGTACGGGAAGAATACGTACGAAATCCCCGACCTTGACAACAGATTTAGACTTTAAACTTTACCTTTCGATCTTGCCTTTATTTTAATTAAAAACGCCACGCCGATATCTCTTCAATCTGTCGCCTCACCAAAATTAGATGCTAATTGGACTTGAAACGAAAAACAGAAGGGCAGGAGACTATTGAGGAAGAATTTATAAATTCGGGGTAACACGTGGCTCTACGTGTGAGAGTAATTGACTTGCAATGGTGGATTCTGTGTTCGATCCTGACCCCTCTCTTTCTTTTTCCTTTTATCTAATCCCATCTATACCCCAATTTTGTAAGAGGTTGATTGAATTTACATGTTAGGGTAAAAAGTGTTTCTCAATAACTGTACTGATGGGATAAAAAGTATCGATCAATCCCCAACAGTTTTATCACCATCTGATATAACAATAAACATTATTCTTTATTTCCTTTATATACACACACACATTGTGTAATTTTAAAAGATTAAAAAACACCTGCTGATCTTCTTAAAAAACAATACTCTTATATTGTACATCTTATACATTTTCTTAAGTCACTAACTGTACACGGTGTTTATTCATACTTTAATTAAGATTCCGCTTGCTTTAACGTATTGTCGATATCTTGTAGAACTTTTGCCATGTGCTTTACTAAAGTGAATCCCGACATTGTGTCTGGTCGTAACGTTCGGACGTAACACTGCTTGTACAGGTTTGCGAGCGTCTCGTGTCTGAAATTTCATTTAAAAAAAAAGATGTATTAAAATAATGAACACAATAGCGGAATATGATCTTCAATCTCTGGAGTATTAATTATAATTTAAAAGCAACGTACTCTTTTTTGTTGTGCACCGGACTTTTGCTGAGGAATAGCTTGGTTAATGATCGTAGAAGAAACTGTAATCTTTGTTCTAACAGAACTACGAGGTTTTCTTCATCATCCATTAACTTTTGTTCTTCGGCCACTTTCTCGCATTCAGAGTTATCGTACTCTGTTTTGTTATCGAGTATCTTTTGTCTCGTCGGATTACCTCGCTCGCATAGTATTTCCATAATAGGTATACATTGCAAAATTAACTCAAGACCGTTTTGGTATGCTTTTAACTTACTATTGAAAGTAGTGCCATCTGAAAAATCAAAATTTTTGTTACGGCAAAAAAATTCGAACGACGGGTAGAATGATAACTTTCTGAAAAGAAAAACGTACTACGCGCTTGGTATTCCGCCAGGGCGACTCTTTCCATTTGAACCGTCAAATATTCCGTGCTCTGCTCTAACGAGAGCAACAGTTTCGCCGCTTTATCGTAATACAATTTGCACAACTGCAAACTCGTCTTTTTCTTGCTATTATCCGCGTCCGACTCCATTTCTCGATACACACGATGGTATAACGAAGCCAATCGATGTTGAATAGTCGCAGCGCGGAATTGATAAACCGGCTGACGTGGTCCCGGCGTGTCTATATCACAATGTTTGAGTGCCTTCTGGAGAGTATCTACCACTTCTCTCTCCAATTCCTCTTCTCTCTGCAACAGGAAATTAAGGAAGAATTCGTTAACGCATTTATTAACCTGTCATTGAATTTTTAACGGGAAAATCTATTACATCTATTTATGCAACGATAAAAAAAAACGTTACACGTTAGTTAAGTTAGTTAAGTTACTTTATATTCAGTCGTAGGATAATCCTGCAATAGCGTAGCTTTCGTGTATAGTGTCGTTGAGAAATCCCACATGACCGTATCCCATATCTCCGGATTCGTTTTCCTATCGCCCAAAACCTGCAGAGCCTTCTGATAGCTCGCGAGTGCCTTGTTGTAAAAATGACGCTCCTGCGTGTTCTGTTTGACATGCATATGTGCGCAGAGTCGCATAAGCCGGCCGGTGTTGGAGTGCAAAAGCGCCAGGTTCGCCTCGTCGTGGACAGTCTCGAAGGCCTTAATGCCAGCTTCCAAGTGAGTCAAAGACCGCGTTAGAAGCGTGGTGACGTCTGATAAATTCGATAATTCGTCCGTTTGATTTTCTTGCTGATATCGAGCTACAAAAATTTATAATTTCTTGATTAATGAACGAGTACTTGTTATCCCCTATAATAATTAAAATATGCGAAGCTTACGTACACTTCGCTTGATTCATGTAAAGCACCCCCAACTCGTTATGAATATTCCCTAGTCGTCTCAACAAATTATTTTTATCCCTATCCATCGGCTCCAATGACAGAGCTTTCTCGTAACATTTGTACGATGAAACTAAAGTAGATTCTAAACTTTCTAATCCCTTCGGTAATAATTCAGCACCATCTGTAATAAAATACACATTGATAACAATCACATATTATTTTCATTGCAAGTCTTGGTGCACTTCGATATTTACTCATATCCAGATCCTCCACACTGAACAGTTCTTCAACTATTTTCTCCTCCATTTCGTTCTTCGTATTGTAATCTTTTCTATGCTTCTCGACATTGCCCCAGTCTTGCACTGTCATAAAGCAGCAGTCCCCCGCGCGACCTAATAGATAACTGATCGACTTGTCGTTTCTCACACCGCAAAAGATTTCCAATATCTTCTGGCAGTACAGCACTTCCAGCATATATCTCAAGGAGGCGCCGTAATTTTTATTTACGTATTCTTTCTCGGCGAGCACGGCGAATATCAAGGACGCTTTCTCGTATAACAATATTTTCAAATGAGCGCTCCAGCAGATATTGTCACTCTTTTTCGGCGCATGCCACGTTGGCAATGTTTCCGTTTTCGGTTTACACAACAAAGCGCTGACGTTCGCTACTTCCTTCGTAATATTCTTCTCATTTTTCTTCTTCCTCTGTTTGTTTTTCTTTTTATGCGCGGGACTAGGATTTTCCGAGCTTTTTTCGGACGTGGCACTTTTATCTTGTCGATTTAACGGGGCGTAAGGCATGGGAATTGCTTGAAAAGGTTTCGCTAAATTCGGATGCATCTCCTCGTATTTTCGCTTCTCCTTTTCATATTCCTCCGCTTTCTTCTGCTCCTCGTCGTTGCTGTCGTCGGTCGGAAAATACTGAAGGCACTCGAGTCCGTGCGTAACGTGTTCTAATCCAGCCAGACATCTCTCTTCTATAGTACCGGACATCGGAGGTGCCTTATACTTTGGTTGCTCACGTTCCATTTGCTCTTTCACTGCAAGAATACCGATATTAACTTTCACAAAAAATTAAAAATGATGAAATCGAAGTCAAACTTACTTACTGTTGGCTAGAGTCAAAGATTTGATCGCGCAAGTTTCTTCCTCCTCCTCCTCCTCCTCGTCGTCCTTTTCGTTTTCTTGACCACTCGTACCACACTCACTCTGAATGTCCTCCTCGTCGCTTTGATCTGATAATCCTGGACTGGCTGGATCAGTATCCGACGGTATATATAAATCCGAAAGCATAAAATGCGCGGACGTAACGATCTGCGGATATTTCTCTTTGGACAGCAATTGAACGCAATTTTTCAGCAGCATTCTGATCGTACCCTGATGCCGATGGTAATCGGGAGAATATTTCATGTTGCGAGCTACTCTGTATAACAACATTGCAACGGGTACGGTGAAGGGATTTTGTCCCTTCTCTTCCGAAACATCGTTGCACAATGATGTCAAATCATACAGCTTCACAACATCATCATCCTTACCTGAAAAATGAAGAAAAAAAAAATTACACATGAATGAAATATTTGTAAACCAGTACAAACATTTCGATTTATTTTTTTCTATATCAAGTTTAAAACGTACCCTTAAATAACCAATAAGTGTGACCGGCTTTTGTCGCATTATTTTTTAGGAAACTCAAAATGTTCTGAGCAACGTCTCGAATCACTTTAGGACTAAACTTTGAATTATCTAAATTTGGAAGATCTTCCGTCTTGATCAGTTCATATTTCTGTACGATACCATTTAAATGGTAACACATCACGACTTCCGGAACATTGCACATCAAATTGTCGAGCCAATAGTCTATTCCCGTTAAGACATTGATAGGTTTCGTCATATCTCTCAGTCGTAGACTTATGCACGGATGTGTCTGACCGCCGAATATCGGCATGTCTGTTCCAATAAGCATTTGTATGTTCTCAAATGTCCATACAACGTTCCTTGCAAAATTATGATTGTAATTTGGATCAGGTACTTTCTCCTCTTGCGTCGGCTCGGGCAAACATGGCTCTAACGTTTTCACGGGTAACTGAGGCTTTTCGCTCTCTTTGTTTTTATCCGCCAATACTATGGAATGATACAGAAACTTCGATACTAGGTTCCTCTGCTGTAAACTATTTCTGCTGTATGCCTTGTGAAAAAGACGCTTCTCCTTGTCGCCGAGATTTTGAAAAATATGCTCGTAGAAGAACTTTTTCAGCCATTCCCAGTCACTCTCGGCTTGTCTCAGTAGATACTTGTGTATGTCAAAGTCGTCCAGCAGCAATGTGTTTTCGATGCGATGCACCATCATTGAGATCACATCATGATTGTAGGGTAGTTGAAGTAACTTTTTTATATTCTCAGCATCCGACACCACGTCCACTTCGCCAACGCAATCGGGAAACATGTGCGCCATGCGAAAACTGGAGAATCCTGTGCTCTGAGACCAAACATTCTGCAGGCCGTAACTTTCCGCCGAGCTGCTGAGCCAGTTGCTGGGTGGAAGGTTCAAGTCCGTGTTACATTGTAATTGAGCGTACGTCGCTGGTGTTTGGACCACAGAGTATTTCACCACTGCGGTCGATTTCACAGGTTTCTTTGGAGAATCTGGCGGTATAGCCAGGGCCATTGACTTCATGTTCTGTAACACATAAAATTAGTCCTTGTATAATTTGTTAAGAATCAGAAGCATCTAATTTTACATTTAAATTAAAAGATATGAAAAGACACTAAAATATTGAACATCATTTTCACATGTCACTTAGATTGAAAGAAGATATGGAGAAGACACTGAAGTTTTGAAGATTATCTTCATATATATCGGATTGCCATAATAATTATTTATCGATTAATTAGACCGGATTATTATGTTAATTATGTTTCGACATTCAAGCAACTTTTCTGCAGAAGATATATTATTTGTGATCAAGTAAAATTTCACACATGTCAAGATATTGATAACGTTTGCAATAAACTCACCGCATCATCATTAATATCCGAGTTCTTCGACATATCTTCGTGCATCAACATTCACATGTGACCGCAAAACATTCACTGTGTCCGAAATCCGAAAACGAAAACTCTAGAAAGACCGAGCATGGCGCCTCTCAGCTTTCAGTCCGGGGAAATGATGCAACTACAGAGTATAATGGCTTGCTTTGTCGATATCACAATCGATCGTTGAAATATTAGTTTTCTACATTATAAAATTGAGATAATTCATATTTAGAAGTTTTATTCAAGTCAAGATAAATTTTCATTTAAATTTCCAATTGTTTGTAAGTTTTAGATAAAGCAAAATAAAGACAAAATTAAATAAAAATTTATAAGTAAGGAGGACAGTTAGAAAGAGACAAAGAGTGAGTTAAAGTTAACCTAAAACTGAATCTAAAAATATATATATGTATAATTTGATATGAAGATTTAATTAAGCATTTATCTTATTTTTTTGTCAATGTTTGATTGATCGGTTTTATTTTATAAATAAAATTAAAAAATTCTGGTTTCTAGACTTTCTAAGACAGATAAATATCTTTTTATTATTTATTACTAAGCTAAGAAGAGAAAGTATATAAAGAAAACTATATATATATTTGCCATTTTGTTTAGAGTTTTATGTGTAAGTTTAATTTTGTAAGTAACACAAGAATTTTCTTTATTTTTCAGAGTGGAAATCAAAGGAAAGGACGTTGTCCTCCAATCGAGCAGAAAAATTACTTCTTAATAAACAAATTTTGGTAAGAGAATACTGCTTTAAAATATTATAGCCTTCAACGTCGAAGCGAAGCCCAAGAAACTCGAAGATCAATCAGGTGAGTCAAAGTCACGAAGTTACGTTATCGTTGTCTTTAAACAATATTATGCAAGAACATGCACATGTAACGCTGATGAAATCATTCCGTTCTCTTTTTTCTCTCTCTCTCTCTTTATTTCTTCTTTCCTCGGAACGCGATGATATTTTAAAATTAAATTATTTATAAAATTTGCGAAGCGTCATAAATAATCCACGTAAATGTCTCGGAAACGTAGAAAAATGTCGCGTGAGCGCCTACGTCTCATCCGCGCCACTAAACGCCTTAGGAAGCCCTAGAAGTCTGTCATGCGTCACTGTATATACCCGGTATATAAGTCCCGATCCATTGCTTAGCGATCCACTCATCTTCTTCGAACGGAAGAGACAAAGGTATATTTTTCACCATGGTGGCGAATTTCAAGGTCTACAAAAAATGCTCGCCCAACGGCAAGCTCGCCGTTTACCTGGGCAAACGCGACTTCATCGACTACCTGTCGGGTAGTGAGCCGATCGACGGGGTAGTCCTGGTCAGCCCGGAATACGTGGACAGCGGCAGGAAGATATGGTGCCAGCTGTTGTGCAGCTTCCGGTACGGCCGCGAGGAGGACGAGGTAATGGGACTTAACTTCCAAAAGGATCTCTTCTTGGCGTCGGAGCAGATCTTCCCGCGGATTAAGAAGCCCGAATCTAATCCTACCAAGCTACAGGACAGGTCAGGACAAATATCTATTAACAATGCTCAGACTCTGAAGGCTTGAAATATGATTCTACGTGTGCATTATATGTTAAAAATTAAGTGAAGGTCGATCAATATTTAATGGCATCCAAAGAAATATCTATATAATATGTCAAAATTAAGTTTTAATTTTAATTTTTTTTAGTTTCACTGTTAAATATTAAAGAATGAAATTGAAACCAATACCCTGAGTTAAGTAATATTTTGTCATTTTTAACTACCATGTGTGTCGAAATTTATTATTTTAACTCCATTAGTTTAATTAAGTTAACATTGTTTTAGTTAAATTAACGATATATTGAGTAGGAGCAGTGGCAGCCTATAGAAATGGTTAAAAATGACTCAAATTGGGTATAATTTGACACTATATAACAGTTCTTTACTTTCTTTCTTTTATATTATTCTCAAAAATTTCCGGATACTAAATAGGAAATAAAGTTATCTTTTTGATGTTTAACGAAATTGACTTGTAGACTGTGGATAGATTGTAACAATCGGAATATGTCTGTCTGGAACAGGTTGTTGAAGAAACTGGGCTCGAACGCGATACCCTTTACCTTCACGTTTCCGCAGAGCGCGCCGTGCAGCGTGACTCTTCAGCCCGGGCCGGACGAGACCGGCGAGCCGTGCGGCGTGAGTTACTACGTGAAGGTGTACTGCGGCGATACGGAGACCGACGTGACCCACAAGCGCAGCACCGTCATGATGGGCATCCGCAAGATCCAATACGCGCCCACGAAGGAGGGTCGTCAGCCGTGCACCGTGGTGCGCAAGGACTTCATGCTGAGTCCGGGCGAGCTCGAGCTCGAGGTCACCCTCGACAAACAGCTGTACAATTACGGCGAGACGATCGCCATCAACGTATGCGTGCGCAACAACAGCAACAAGGTGGTGAAGAAGATCAAGGCGATGGTGCAGCAAGGCATCGACGTGGTGATCTTCCAGAACGGTCAATTCCGGACGGTGATAGACGCGATCGAGACCCAGGACGGCTGCCCGATCGATCCCGGCTCGAATCTGCAGAAAGTGCTCTACCTGAGGCCGACCCTGACGAGCAACAAGAACCGCCGCGGCATCGCCCTCGACGGCCTGATGAAGCGGGACGAGAGCGAGCTCGCGTCCAGCACCCTGCTGACCTCGCCGGACGTGCGCGACTCCTTCGGCATCATCGTGTCGTACGCCGTCAAGGTCAAGCTCTACCTGGGCGCCCTGGGCGGCGAGCTGACGGCCGAGTTGCCGTTCATTCTGATGAGACCCAAGCCGTCCGACCGGGTTAAACTGGTCCCGATGGACAGCGTGATGATCGAGGACATCCCGCAAGAGAATGCCGACGAGAAAGTCGGTTTCTAGATCGACATTTCAGCAATCCTGCGGGATCATCGCCCGAGTCTTTCTCTCTCTCTCTGCTCCAATCGCTTCTCGCGCCCGACTTTCTGATTAGCATATCGAGCGGGCACGAAGACGGTGGCTGACATCCAAAAAAACGTCTTAATGTATTAGACGTTTTTTTTAGATATCCTGTAGAACTCACCTGAATCATGATATTGCCAGTTGAATCGATATCTTTTATCATAAATACATCGCAACTGATATAAACGACGCTAATTAATTCGAAGTCACTTTCTGTATATGAATTATGTAAAAAAACGTCGGATTAATTAATTCTGTCGATATGTTTGAAGAATACGTTTAGTTTATTTATATAATCTACGTAGTTTATTTATGTAAGCGGTCTATCCCGCGTTAATTATATTCAGGAAATAATCTATTGATCGTGTGTAATTGATCGTTTTGATATAAATGCGAAATTGTAATGAGCACCCAGCTGCACCTGCATGTAATTAAATTCTTTAATCCCCGTGAAGTCCGTGATTAAATATTTGCGTCAGAGTATCCATCCAACTCTCCCGAAATGTACCCCTAAATTTAATTGTACGATCTTGCGGAACGGTTAGTATATATAATTATACTTTATATAATATACATATAAATATACTTTATAAAATCAATAAAGAATATCAAAAATATAAAGGATATGAAGAATATAAAGAATATAAAGGACATAAAGAATATAAAGAATATAAGGAATATAAAGAATATGAAGAATATAAAGAATATAAAAAACATAAAGAACATAAAGAATATAAAGAAAAAAAATATTTATTTCTAAGTTAGCTCGACTTTCGTCGCGTGACATCGGCCTCGACAAAAACTGTCGTTTCAAAATACAGGCTCTTCCCCGCCTTCATTCTTATGCGTTAATTAAACCCGCCTGTGCCCTCAAATCTCGAATCAGAGTCAAGCGGGGTGGGATATCGTCAGTCTCTTCGAGCATTTTCCGTTTAGAATGTTTAGATCCAGAACGAGAGATTGCTTATCGCTTGTTCTTTCGCGCGTGCCACGTACGGGGTGTCGCTCCCGCCAAGGAGGTGTCCGTGGCGAAGGGCACGGGCGGCCGTCGACGAAGGAAAACCACCCGATACGTGCGACGGGCGTCGGTGGAGCGGCGAGGGGCGAGGGGCGGACAGACAGCGGATAACACCATCGCGATCGGTGCGAGGGAGACGCAGCGACGCAGCGACACCGTAGCTGGACGAGGACGGAAAGAGGGGAGAGAGAGAGAAAGAGTGAGCGAAGGGGTCGGTCGACCGGTGCCGCGGGTCCCGAGCTCGGAGCCGAGTGTCAGTCAGGCTCGAGACACCCGCGCGAACGGAGCGGAGAAGATCGAGGTGGTGGTTTTTTTTTTCGGCTGGTTTAACCTCCCCTTCTTCGTACGTTCTTCGCGGATGCGCGCGACCCCCCCTCCTCCGGCGCCCTACACTCTACACCCACTCAAGCGAGGTAGTAATCGCCCGGCCTGTCACGGAGCAGTGTCGCGCGGAGTGTCGTACGCGATAGGATATACGCGCGGAGAAGAGACAGAGAAAGGAGAGCGAGAGAAAGAGAGAGAGAGAGCGGCCTCGCCGGTGTCATCCGGATAACGTTGCTCTCGTTGTCGCACACCCTTCCCCCCGCAGCACGCGCCGTATTCTCGAGAATCTCGACCAACCCTGTGTGCGCGCGCGATCGACGCCGGTACCAGCAGCGACGATACGCAAGAAAGGACCGCCACGACGACGACGACGACGAGGCGGCGATCGTTGTGAGCTACTCCGAAGGCCGAGTGTGTGAGTACATCCTATACATGTATACAGGTCTATCTGACCCCTTTCTCTCCTTTTAAAAAAAGACGCGAGGTCGCCTCGCAAGGTTCTTCGCTTATCTGCTCCCGTTTCTCGCAGCCGCGCCGAGCCCTCGCGCGCGGAAACCTCCTCTCGCGTATAGCCCCAGACGTCGGCATCGATTTCCTCGTGCCCCGCCATCGCCGCCGCCTCCGCCGCCGCCGCCGCCGCCGCCGACAACAACGACGAGCCCTCCGCCCTTCCAGCGGCCGCTCGCATGCCGCTGGTCCCTCTCCTCTTCCTCTCCCCCCGCGCGATCTCTTTCCCATCTCGAGGTCGACGCGAATTCGCGAGCCACTCCACCGACTTCTCCTTGAAATATCCTTCGTGGTGTCACTCGGCGAGGGGGACGGGGGCGGGCGAGACGCGGTGTAGGGCCCGACGAATACTATCGACCCAATCGGCGTGTCCGACACGATACACCCAAGGACGAGGGTGTCGGGTTTTCGGAGAGCGATTTGCCTAAAAGGGAGCAAGGTGCAGTTCGCGTCGAGTGTCTTCTCGAGAGAAGGAAATTTGTCACGCCCATATTTCGACCTTCGTTTAACTCGCGCGCGAGTTCGATTCGTTCCCAGCAAACATCACAACACATGTGCTGTGATGCGTTTACATTGTTGAGTAGGAAGCTATTGCTGACATGTAAATTGCGTGTTACTGGGTGTCTGCTAGAAAAATTATATTAATCCTTTAAATGCCGAATACTTTGACAAAACGTATACTCGACACACGAAAGGACTGCGTGGCTTTAACGGACGGATGCGAAAGTGTCCGTAATATTCTATCTAGACGTTCATTGAGCGTGTGTGCGCATCCATAAAAGTTAAAGGGTTAAATGCCCACATGAAGGGAGAATCGAGCAGCCGCGTCTGACACTTTAATGAATGACAAGCCAGAAGGTACTCTTTAATCTCGAAGATAGTGTTTTGTCAGAGTTATTTACACACACACACACAGTACTGAGGATACAGTTCTTTCGATTTGAATTGCACAATAATGCGCCACTTGTATTTATCCCCTTTAAAACACGTGCACGTTTATTGCACGATATCGGTATCCGATATCGATTGTTATAACATTTTAATACATAGTTGCTCTATAAATTAAAAATACTACGGTTATTAATAATATTAAAATGAGAGCATAAGGGATTATATGGTGAAACCTAATCTTAAGTTTCAACAATAAGATTATTTACTTTGATTAATACTATGAGCGTTTTTGATTTTCGATTTTATGCCGGTTTTACCGCCAATAACGGCGGCAAAAGTTTGCCGAAACATTGCGATAAAATAAAAGGACTGAGTCTCGTTAATTACTCGCGAGTGAATTCCCGAGAGATTCGCCCGAACGGCGAAATTCAGCGCGTGACAGGAGGTAGCGGGACGAAGTATTGGCTCGTGCGTACATACGCTGTCGAAGCGGATTCCGCGTGATTAATATGGCACTATTTGTAAATACAGTGGGCGCGAATGAAAATCTAGCCGCGAGTAATGTGCGAGCGAGATATTACGAGTAGAAACTCTCAAGAGCAAGTGCTCTCTCTCTCTCTTCTGCCCCGGCATGGTACACGGGTTGTTTATGGCGCTATAACAGTGCAGAGTACTTGTACACGAAAACACATTTCGTGGAGAAACGCAGCTCGGAAATTCCGTTAGACGCCTCTGTCCTGTCGAAAGATAAGAATATCAGGATATATTTTATATATATCCTGTATTTTATTCTATACATGTATCCCGAACTTTTCTAATATCCTAACGATTTGCGTTAGTGATTAAATTAATTATCAATTTAATTAGGCGATTGTGCTGTTCTAGCTTCGATTGAGATTAGGGCCGTTACTCTCCGACAGCTTCGAAGTTTAAGATCCCCGAAGCTTCGAAGTTCGAATATCGAAGCTTTCGAAGCAAATTATCAGCCTTAGTTGAGATTGCGTTTCAAGTCCGAAAGTAAGTCTGGCGCGTGGTTTGCCAAGTTTGAGAATAATTGCGCGTAAAATTCACGCGAATAATTATTAGGCAAGCAAGATCCAGTCCTGGCCGTTTAACGGCGTTTTCCTTAATTTGATTGAATATCATTCACGGTCGTATTTCACTTATTTATTATTGACAATAATGTCTTTCGCGCTAAGAGACTCCAGATCGATTAAAAATAATCTTACGCGGAACGCGAGCGTTCAACTTTAAAGCACCGTGAGTTCCTAACGCAAGAGATATACTATCTCAATTTTTAATTGCGCAGTACACTGCGGAGTATTGTAAATATATTATTCCGTATGCGCTGCAATTAAGATAGCGATCGTGGACTTGAAATAACGGGCGTGAACGGGGCGCCAATCGCAACGGACAACAAATCATGGAATATGCCTCGGTACACACCACCGGAAGTACGTGTATACAAATCGATTTCCGTAACGAACGACACGGCGATCGTCAATTTTTCCTCATTATCGGTTCAACGTCTTCGCATTTTGTCGCGCATCGTTTGCCACGCTGCTTGGGTACGCGCGCATCGCTCCGGTTCGGACCAGTCGGTGCTGCGCCGCATCATCGTCCTCCGATCCAGTCCTACAGATCCGTTTAATTATCTCATCTCGCTGAATAAAATATGTCTCGGTAACCCGGTGTAACTTGTCTTTCCCGAGAAACTAGATATCTTCTATACGCGACACTCGCGATCCTCGAGTCGTTTAAATCCCGGGATTTATCCTGGAATGTCGATTATCGGGTTGTTGCGCGCGAATTGCGGTCGATCGCGGAATTTTTCTCGATTCGCGATCGGCTCTAATATTTTTATATTGCGTATTTCCACGCGTCTTTCAAGTTTTATTTTCGTGAAGGCAATCGAGATGTATCCGGCACGCGCGCGCGTCGCGCTTTCCGAGGAGTCGCGCGGAAGAAAGGTGCACCTTTCTCGAGCGGAGAGGATCCGCGACGCCGAAGAAATTCGTGTCCTGAATTAAGTGTCCTTTCGCTTCCTCCGACGCGACGGTCGATCGATCGGAAACTCTCGCACGAAGCCGCCGCGTGCATGAGCGGCGGCGACCTCGTTGAAAGCGAGTCACCTTTATCACCGTCCCAGTTACTCACGTACGGCTTCTCTTCGCGATGCGATCAGGGATCGCCTTCGAAGACTTCTTTCAGCGGACGTGATTTACATACGGTCGTCTGGCGGCCGCAAATAACGATCTACCCTCTGGTCGTCTTGGACCCGCCGGGACCGTTCCTCCATCGACATTCGACGCGAGTAAGCCCGGTTTTTCGGCGTCGATCGTTCCCCGAACGTCTAGCGGGCAACGAAAATTGATTCATCGTCACACCGTTCTCACTCTCTTCTTCGGTTTATTTAACGAACTTGTTTGCGCGTAAAAGAGCCGGCCACGCAACTGTTTTGCATCTTGTTAATAAGACGTTGCTTTAATTCTTACTCTCTTTCCAATAAATTTTGCAAAACCTTCAATAGCTGAAGGACGATCATTTTAAATCGAAAGAGATAGCCTGTTAAAGTTTCTTTAAAAATTATCCGAAAGAAGGAAAAAGTTCGATTGAAAGTATTTGAAGAATGTAAAGAAGAAAGTATACTGCAAGGTCTCAGAGTCTCAGAAAATCCTCTTACGCATTCAAAGATAAAATCTAAGAAATCTCTC